CATTTCTTGATGAAGATGGAGTTATCAGGGTGGGCGGTAGACTACGGCACTCAACTTTAGCGTTTCAGAACAAACACCCGTCACTTCTTCCAAAAGAAGGACATCTGACCGCTCTTATAATAGACAGTTATCACAAGGTTTATTTGCATGCAGGGCCTAAGCTCTTGCAATCCATTCTTTCAAAGGAATTTTGGATTTGTTCTGCTCGAAATACTATCAGGAAACGATTGTCAAAATGTGTCCAGTGTACAAGATTTCGAGCCTCACTCCCGCAACCTTTCATGTCTGACTTGCCCGCTGTTCGTCTACAATGTAGCCGTCCCTTTCTGTCATGTGGGATAGATTTTGCAGGTCCCTTTCAAACCAAATCAAATGCTCTAAGAAAATCGCAGCTTACAAAATCATATTTATGCATTTACATTTGTATGTCAACCAAGGCCGTGCACTTAGAGGCAGTTTCCAGTCTTTCCGCAAAGGATTTTTTGGCTTCATTTTCAAGATTCACTGCTCGTCGAGGTCTTCCACATGATGTTTACAGTGATATGGGTACTAACTTTGTTGCCGCTGCTAAAGACCTTACCGAAATGCACAAGCTTCTATCTAAATCACCTGTTTCAGAGGTTATTCAAAAGAGTTTGACTGATAAAGGAGTACAATGGCACTTTAATCCTCCTTCGGCTCCACACTTTGGAGGAATCTGGGAGGCCGCGGTAAAGTCGGCAAAATATCATCTCAGACGAGTAATAGGCATCCAAATCTTCACGTTCGAAGAACTTTCTACCTTGTTTGCTGAAGTAGAGGCAGTGATGAACTCGAGACCTCTTTCCCCACTATCACCTGATCCAAATGAAAATAATGTCCTCACTCCAGGGCATTTCTTGATTGGTGAAGCGTTAAATGCAGTACCTTCACCAGATGTGACAGATATTAAACTCAATAGATTGACTAGATGGCAACTTGTCCAACAAGTAACTCAACATTTTTGGCGGAGATGGAGCTCGGAATATTTACATAATCTCCAACAGCGCGGGAAGTGGACTCAACACATTCAAAATCTTCAAGTAGGAGACCTTGTTTTCATAAAGGATCCAAACCTACCTCCTCTTTACTGGCCTACTGGACGAATTGTTGCTGTACATCCAGGAAAAGACCATACAGTTAGAGTTGTAACGTTACGAACTTCTTCTGGACAATTAACACGACCAGTGGTTAAATTGTGTCCACTACCCAAAGAATAAGTCAAATCACAAGTTTTGTTTTCAAGAAGAGATTTTTTTGTTTTTTACTTTTAGTTTCAAGCACTTGAAGATTTTTACAAAATGTTATTTTATTTATTTGAAGAAGAGAAGACTTTTTCCATTGAGAAGAAATTTTAATTGCATTTTTAAAACAAAAAAAGGAAGTAGTTTTTTTTTGTGCAAGCTCATGAATTTTAATTACCTTTTGAGAAGAAAGAAAACTTTCAGTTTTGGTGGGCGGTTTGTTTAGTATTTCAAACTTTATTTCTTGGCAATTCCACTGCACACACATACTCCATAATCCTGTCTAATACCTGCCTTTCATGAGCACTAAAAAACAATTTGAGGATATTCTACTCTAGCTAGAAGAGGATTGAGTTCACCCCACTTGATTTCAGTATGTAGGGTGAGTCATAACCTCTTTTTGCTCTCTCCTTCTTTACCATTTAATATTTGCCAATTTGCTACTTTTCAACCCGCATTATAAAACAGAGGTATTTTTAACATTAGATATATAGAAAGTTCCCTTCAGAAAGGAATTACGACCTTAAAGGGCAATTTATGAAATAATGGATAGTTTTGTGCAAGGTTTCTCGTCATGAGCAACATTTTAAGTATATGGTTTACGGGGGTGTGACTTGTAGTTTTCTCAAAAGTTCATGGGTACTTTTGGCTTTATATATAGACTAGCTGTACCCGCGGGCTTTGCCCCACTTCATAAGTGAGCTCGTTTGCATGGCTCAATCACGTCCTGGTTGAAGTTTGTTCGCTACGCTCACTCACTTTTAGGTTGGAGCTCGTTTGCTGCGCTCACTTGCCTTCAGGTTAGCTCGTACGCTACGCTAACTCGCCTCCAGGTTGAAGTTCATTCGCTACGCTCACTCACCTTTTGGTTGCAAATTAGCTGTTGTCATAAATGTAAAAGAAATAATAGTGCTGCACCCTGTTGGTAATCCTTGTAACTTTAATGCTATTGAACATCATAGAACAGAACCAAATTGTTTTATTGAAACAGCTGTTAAGATTAATTAATTCCATTTAAATATGAGTACTCATAAGGTTAACATGGGAAACTCCAGAGCCACTGGGGCGGAGCCCGAGAGTCCGATCAGAATAAAAACAGCTTAGTTTTGCTATTTAATGCCTAAAGAATCAGTGTACCAAATTTCAGCCTCCTAGGTAAGTGGGAGAATTAGTGATGAGTGAGTGAGTGAGTGAGTGAGTGAGTGAGTGAGTGAGTGAGTGAGTGAGTGAGTGAGTGAGTGAGTGAGTGAGTCAGTCAGTCAGTGAGGGCTTTGCCTTTTATATATATATAGATACTAGTGTACATGTTGCTCGAATTCAAGCAATTGCAAAGTATTACAGGGGTTATTTCAAAACGAATAACAGTCATATTTACAATAAGTTTAAAAGAGTCAACATAAAGATTACCATTGTGTAACTAATGGAGATACTCACGATGTATATAACAGTAATCAACATTTCCTGTAAATATTGTATCATATTTCATAACCTGGTATTGCTTTTTAACTTTAACGTTTTCCACAAACATTTCCTGACTTATAGCCGTATAAGGTTGTCCATGTTTATCTTCGTTATTGATAAGCCTAAAGCATTCCGGCCGGTTTTCTCCTTCTCAAAATACCTTGCTGGACAAGCAACACAGGTCATTGATAGAGGGCCAATTGAGAAAGAAAAATCGTTTTGGAGTAGTGTCAGGGCGCATTTTGTAACCTAATAGTTGAGATTCTCCAAGGTCAGGTGCTGACTGTGATGAGTTGAGCCTATTACGCGACACTGTTCTGTAGCTGCGGTCGTTCTCACGATTACGCCTGCTGTCTATGTTTCGTTGTCGTCGCGTCGGAGGCATTTAAAAGAAAACACAACAAATAAACCAATTATAGCTACACAGAACAACGAAAAATGCGCAAATTTAAGTTACAATCATGCTAACACGATCAGTGACAGCGACACAAAACAACGATAAATCTACACAAATATAAGATACAACCATACTAACACGATCCGTCTTGGGGGTTATGTTTACACAAATCTCAAATAGTAAATAAATGTACTCAATGTGTTTCATTGAATTGAAAAATAATAACAGCAATTAAATTATACAGCTGATCAAAATGTAAACAATTATGTTCTTCATAAGGATAACATGGGAACTTTCAAAGCCACTGGGACAGAGCCCAAGGGACTTTTTCAAAAATGTAAGGCCAGTTTGCAAATCTACGCGACACTCTTTTTCCAATGAGACGTCAATGGATAAAATCGGTTAAGATATGGTGGAGGAGTTCAACCGACAAAGTTTCATGTAGCGTATTAATTATATAGATATGTGTCCGTCCAGACGATAACTTGAGTAATTTTTGTCCGATTTTGATAAATTGGTTTGTAGGTGTAAGGCGGGATAAACCTGAATGACTTCGCGAACCAGCATGATCAGAACATGGGAACGGGGTTTATAGGGTAAAAATAGGTTTTTCTAATTTTTTACCCTTAAAACACAACATTTATCAATTTTTCTCCAGACCTTTTTAAAAAGCTTGAAAAAACAAATAATTTAGTATATCAAAGTGTTTTTGTACGGTGATTGGTTACGGAGAAAATTCAAAAAATTCTTAATTTAAAATTCCCATGTTGAGAATATTGTAAAATGTTGTAGTTGGCTTGTTTATGGATATATTTTGATCAAACTTGGCAGATTTATTTATTTCATACTAAGCTATTGATATTTTAATAAAAAACACACTGTATTAGTTTCCTTGTAGCAGCTAACTTAGGTACTCGTTAAACATAAATTTTAATTTATTAGATTAATTTAAAATCAATCCAGGCAAATAGAAATTTGCTCAGTCGTCAGGTTTGCTGCAGCGGGGGTGTTTGGTTCTTACAATAGTGATGGCTTTGATTTCACAACAACTGCTCACGTCTGGCTACCCACAAAATCGCTACGGTCTAACCCACAATGAGTACACTGTGCTGTGGGATAAGTATTGAATATTTAAAGGCTTTCCTATTAAATGTATAATGTTTTGTAATTTTCTCCCGTTTCTTTTAAGTATTTTTTTATTAGTTCTTTTATTTATTTGATTTCTAGGTTTTTACGTAAAAGTAGACAATCAGTCATTATAGAGCTTAAACCAGCACTGAAAGCAAACAATTGTTATTTATCCATTTTGAAACAACAATGTTATCAAATTAATATGACAGTTTAAATGGCAAAACAAATTTGTAATTTTCACGCAATAATTGTTCATCATACCTATAATATCATCATATATTTGATAACAGATATATGAAAAACTGTGTAATACCGGCTTTACGAATAATGTTGAAAAGTTTAGATCATATTACAGGTTTGAGGGTGACGGGGACAGCCCAGGACGTTAGTGTGCATGCACGTATTCGACAATGCAAGCTATGCTAATGTGAACGCCCTGATTTAAATAACATTAGAGCTACGTCAGCAATGTATTCCAAAAACGTGGTAATACGCCTGGCTGCGCCGCCGGTGTGAACAGTCGTTTACTATTAATTAGTAAAAAAGCTACTAATTAGCCTATACAATTTGGTGATTAGGAGTTCTTGAGAATATGAAAGAAGATAATGAGAATAAAATACCTCGAATCTTGAGAACAGTCCCATCATTATAGTTGGCATATTGATGTATTTTAAGTTTTATAAGACACATGAAAGAAAAAATAAGAGGCACGAGCTAAAATATGAAGACAGAGAATGACAACAACTTACCTTGGAAGCGAAAGTTCCTTGGGGCCAATCCATGTGAGCAGCTGTCATTTGTGCTGTCTGATTTGAATCATCATCAATTGCCTGGAAACAATTTAGTCATAATCAGTTGGTGATATTATCAAATTAAATCAAATAGCTGATCAAATCAATATTTGGATGGAAAAATCAATTTAAAAACAAAGAGAATTTGATTTAGTTATATTATACTGTATTTAAAATATTTAGTATTCAGTATTTAGTGAGTCGGTGGCTCAGTCGGTAGCGTCGCGGACTTCGGGCCCAAGGCAGCGATGTCGTGGGTTCAGATCCTGGTCACTGCCGATAACATTTTATCAGTACAGTTCACCTTTGTACTGTACCGGCTCACTCCTTGCTTTGCTGTTAACGATCCACGCACGGGCGCTTAGTCTATGTGGACGGGCAAATGCAAGGTTAAAAGAGGCCGCCAACCTCTTAAAAAAAAAATATATTACAACTTACTGGCCAGAACATGGATTCAGATAAACATAACACAATGTCTTATTTTATTATTTTATTCATAGCTTTTGACAATTATTACATTGTGTAGCATAGTTATTCTAATATTTACAGTAGGTACAATAGGTTACATAGAAGTTTTTTATCAAATTACAATGTATATAAAAGTTAACTTTTAACAAATAAATAAATACATAAAAGAAACGTAAGAAAACTACAAAACATTATAAATTTAACAGGAAAGCCTTTAAACACTTAATATTTATCCCTAGAGAATATCATTCTGTGCCCTCAACTTCAGCGGTGCACAGTGTACTCATCAACTGAATAGAACACCTGATTTTTATAAGTCACGCTTCAGTTTTGTTTTGAATCCAGACTTTTAAGCCTCTCAGGGGGATAGTTAAGGAGCCTGACACCTACTTGAGAAGGAAGTTTCTGAAATGCAGCTGTTTGGTATTGGACAGTGCGAAAACTTTCACTTGCACTAGTCCTGTGGCTGTGCACAGCAGTGCCTTGAATAGGCACATGTTGAAACCAGCAGTATTGAGCCGTTTCCAATATATACAGGGAAGGTAGGGTCAGAATTCCAAGCTCCCTGAAAGCTTGTCCATACGACTCTCTCTGCCTCAGATATGCAATTAATCTGATGGCTCTTTTTTGAAGCCTAAACATCATTTTAAAATCTCGCCTGGCACAACCACCCCACAATCGTAATCCGTAGGAAATATGGGGATGAAAGAGTCCATAATGGGCCATAACCAGGACTTGTGTTGAACATGAAGGCTTCAGTTTACGAAAGGCAAAAATCCCTTTTGCAATTTTTGGACTACATGATCTTGCCAGTTCAGCGCTTAATCCAAGCGCATCCCTAAGAACTTTGTTTTAAAGTTATATAGTGTGCATTGGCGACCAAAGACATACTTGATTTTGCTATTGCTGAGTAACTGCATTGAAAGTCAGGATACTCTTTTGATTATTAAATTCCGCTAAGGGCCAATTATTGTTCTAAAACTGGTTGCAACTAGATCCTGAACAGGATCCATTTTGGGCCTGGATTTTTGGTCAATTACTTTTGGAATATAAATTATTAATGATTCCATCAAACCAGTAACAAGACCAAGGTTTGATTGTTCCCTTGCAAATAAGAAAAAGAAAACCTTAAACAAGGATTTAGGATGTATAATTGGAAACAAAAACCTTTTTCAGGGAATTCAAATTGTCTACATGGGTGTCACAATAATAATGCATAATATTAAATTGAGTTTTCATGCAAGTCCTGGAGTTTACTTAATTTAACACTGTGTTGTACACTAACCTGTTTTCCTACAATGACAATGTCTGCCTTTTCATCCTGTGCAAGCTTTGCCAATATCTTGGACACGTGAATGGGCTGAAGTGTTTCATACTCAGGACCAGTCACCTCCACATGGATACCACGATCCACCCCCATTGCCAGAGCTGTTCTCAGTGTTTCCTACACATAACACAAAACAATCACTAACCATACTCAGAACCAGTCACCTCCACATGGATACCACGATCCACCCCCATGGCCAGAGCTGTTCTCAGTGTTTCCTACACATAACACAAAACAATCACTAACTATACTCAGAACCAGTCACCTCCACATGGATACCACGATCCACCCCCATGGCCAGAGCTGTTCTCAGTGTTTCCTACACATAACACAAAACAATCACTAACCATATTCAGAACCAGTCACCTCCACATGGATACCACGATCCACCCCCATGGCCAGAGCTGTTCTCAGTGTTTCCTACACATAACACAAAACAATCACTAACCATACTCAGAACCAGTCACCTCCACATGGATACCACGATCCACCCCCATGGCCAGAGCTGTTCTCAGTGTTTCCTACACATAACACAAAACAATCACTAACCATACTCAGAACCAGTCACCTCCACATGGATACCATGATCCACCCCCATGGCCAGAGCTGTTCTCAGTGTTTCCTACACATAACACAAAACAATCACTAACCATACTCAGAACCAGTCACCTCCACATGGATACCACGATCCACCCCCATGGCCAGAGCTGTTCTCAGTGTTTCCTACACATAACACAAAACAATCACTAACCATACTCAGAACCAGTCACCTCCACATGGATACCACGATCCACCCCCATGGCCAGAGCTGTTCTCAGTGTTTCCTACACATAACACAAAACAATCACTAACCATACTCAGAACCAGTCACCTCCACATGGATACCACGATCCACCCCCATGGCCAGAGCTGTTCTCAGTGTTTCCTACACATAACACAAAACAATCACTAACCACATTCAGAACCAGTCACCTCCACATGGATACCACGATCCACCCCCATGGCCAGAGCTGTTCTCAGTGTTTCCTACACATAACACAAAACAATCACTAACCATAATCAGAACCAGTCACCTCCACATGGATACCACGATCCACCCCCATGGCCAGAGCTGTTCTCAGTGTTTCCTATACATAACACAAAACAATCACTAACCATATTCAGAACCAGTCACCTCCACATGGATACCACGATCCACCTCCATGGCCAGAGCTGTTCTCAGTGTTTCCTACACATAACACAAAACAATCACTAACCATATTCAGAACCAGTCACCTCCACATGGATACCACGATCCACCTCCATGGCCAGAGCTGTTCTCAGTGTTTCCTACACATTACACAAAGCAATCACTAACCATACTCAGAACCAGTCACCTCCACATGGATACCACGATCCACCTCCATGGCCAGAGCTGTTCTCAGTGTTTCCTACACATTACACAAAGCAATCACTAACCATACTCAGAACCAGTCACCTCCACATGGATACCACGATCCACCTCCATGGCCAGAGCTGTTCTCAGTGTTTCCTACACATTACACAAAGCAATCACTAACCATACTCAGGACCAGTTACCTGAACATGGATACCTCAATGGTATCCCCACTCCCATGGCCAGAGCTGTATATCTTTTTGTTTGACGTTCATACGCATTTTTAATTAAAGCTCAAAGTTACTACAGTAAGTCTTCTCACATCCATTGTTTGAAGAGCTCATTGCTCAGATTTGGCTTTGTATTTTTTCCATCGCAAAGTTGAAAAACCTACACCATAAATTCTTGCTTTTTACCTTTCTTCACAGTTTACAGAATAGGAACCTTTTTATAGGTATAGTAGGCTACTGATAAAAAAAACTTTTTTTACTAGTTTTTGTAATGCTTACAAAACAAGGAAAAATATTACAGAGGTTGTCTAGAAAAATTAATATCCTTATAAAACCCTTAATCCAGTGCACTGATTTTAAAACATTATTAAGCACATGCAGAAGTTACATCTGTTTGGTAACAAAAAAATTTGATTTAATGCAAAATACTGCAATACACATCTATCTATATAAATAAAATTAGAGTTTTGTCTGTACATTGCTCAGAGTTATATATATTTAGATTATTTTTACATTTTATACATTAAAGAAGCCGAAACAAGTCGTATCTCTATTTCTGTCTGTCTGTCTCCTCAACGATCGCTCGTGCAGCAGCCTCGCTAATCAATCTCTCTCTCCCTCTCTCTAAGCCAATTCTTCGTCTTACTCTCTCTCACACAGTCAGCTGACTTGGCCGCGTGCTCACGATAGTCTACCTAGCGGTCGCCACGGGAACTATCCAAAATTCAAATATCAATCAAATATTCCCAGACTGAATTTTTAACAATGGCATTGCTTCTTAAAGGGTTTGTATTCATTGGTATAGTCTACCTGAGCCTGTGCTGGACCACATGACACAGCTATTACTTCTGAGGCAATTTTCTTCTCCTTCATACGCACAGCCTCTTCAACAGCTATCTCATCAAAGGGGTTCATGGAGTGCTTCACCCCATCCGTCACCACCCCACTCTTATCTGGCTTTACTCGGATCTACAACAAAAATATAAACATTGTTTGAAATTAAAATAGTTATCTACCAAATTGATCAATTTACATGTTATTTACCAGGTTTTTTAGGTTCTCTTGAATTCATTAAACCAGTAAAATCAATTTTATTCTTTTTGGTTAAGAAAGCTGATCTCAGATGTCTAGTTTTTATCAATTGTTTTTGATTACAGTAGTCTGTACTTACAAAATTATACATTGGTGCTTCTTCAACTGTATTCAATTACACACATAGATCATTTTCACATTAATGATATTTATTACACATATAATTAGGTAAACATTGATGTGAAAGATATGACCTGTGAAAGATATGCCTTGAGATCAAGCAAGAGAGTGGTTATATGCGAAAAGTATAATTATACAAAAAAATTGTTTCCTGACTTCCTGTTGATCAAGTATTTTTTCACTAGCTCATACAAATTAATGAATTAGCCTACTCATAATTTTCAACTTTCAATCTTAAGGTTAAGAACCGTGAGCGGATCCAGCCAGTTGAAAAGGAGGAGGGCTGATATCAAATTACTTTGTATGCTTAGAGTACCTATGGAATCTTCTCCGAGGCAAATTTTTAACACAGTAATAACTATAAATACCCCCCTGCCAAAGCAAACCTGTTGACTAAATGAATTTCCATTTGTCTGATTCAATTTTGACTTAAATACTTTGTTGAATTTGTCAGATGTATTCCCTTTTAAAATACATTAAATTAACAAGCGTTTAATTAAGTTTGTTGATACAAAGAAGAAGTGTTTTCCCCCATAAGAATCTATACAAAGTACCGTATTAAAAATTATTGGTTTTTCTTTTCTGAGTCGGTTTAGCTCTTCAACTCGACAAATTTTCATAATGTTTTTCTTAAATTAATGGTATGCATGCATAGATTTGCAATCAAGCATCCACAATCATATATCTGACGTATATTTCAAGCTATGCACAAAAGCAACTTCTTCTCTGTACATTTCTTATGTGAGTCAAATTTTGTTTTTCTTTTCCAAATTCGTTTGGCTCTTCTATCTAACCAGTTTTCATAACCTTGATCTTAAATTAAAGGTATGCACACAGAGATTTGCTACCAAGCATAATCTTACATTTATCTACTGTATTACTTGATCAAAAAACATAACTTGATTTTTTTCTGAATTCTTACTTCAACTTAAGATGTATTTCACCAGTTCTAATTACATTGTCCTGTATATTTTGGTCTAAGAACCTTCAGTGGAATGCCAGCTTTAATTTAGCTATTTATCATTGAGATCGGACGAATCTGAAGCATGCTCCTGAATCACAAATCAACAATAAAAAAATAATTTTTAGGACTGATCTGCAATCAATGTCCTACTAACTGAATTCTAATTACATTATCCTATATGTTTTGGCCTAAGAACCTTCAGTGAAATACCACCTTTCATTTGAGTTATTGATAATTAAGATCGGACGAATCTAAAGCACGCAGCTGAATCTCCAACAACCCTAACTGTAAAAAAAAATTGAGTTATCATCATTTAGTACTAAGTTAATAGCATAAAAATTTTAAATGTAGGCTACAATTTATTTTTGGAATTTTCACTGTAACCTTTAATTTTGCAACATTTTATTTTTTGGCTCTAGGATTTAAAAAAAACAATAAATCAAATCAACCAATATTCAAGGTTGTTCATTTAAGGTTAACCAATTAAAGGTATTGTCTAAACAGAGTTGTATTTAAAAGTTCTACAAAATGGTTTTCATGAAAATTGGGCAGTTTTATATTAAGGGTAGACACTTAACAAAAAAAAACTTTAACTTTGAAACCCATTCGCAGTATTTTAATACTTTACTTTGAAATAATATGAAAGTAGGTATTTTAAGCCAAGTATGAATGGAGATGAGAGTAGGATGAGTGGTGCAATCTTTTAGTCTTGTTACTAAGGCAAACATTTTATTACAATTCCGTAGACACAGCTGTTAGCCCTTACAGCCAATGGCAACTAAGGGACCTCAGTTTATATTGGCATCAGAACCACATTTTTGCCTTGATGACAACTACCATGACCTGATCCTGCTGGATTGCTAACTAATTCAAACAACCCTACATGTTCATGATAAATGTCATGAAAATCGGTCCAAAATTACTTGAGTTATCGTGTTCATGGACACACACACACACAACACACACACGTATATTATATTTATATACAGTGGCGTAACAAATTTGTACAGGCCCCCCTGCAAACTTAATTTTTGGGCCCCCCTCTCATGAGTTATTTTTAGACCACCGATACAACATAATCAAACGCCCTCCACGTCCCCCCAGAGTTCTTTTTGGACCACCGATACAATGATCAAACAGATTAATCATGAGTGGTAAATAGATTATGAAAAAATATTAAATTAAAAATTAAAATATTAAATTATGGGTTATGTTCCATAAAAGGGTGTGTTAAGTATTTCAGTCGTAGTTTGATGAAAGTGTTACATCACTACATCATTATATCATTATTAGTGTTTGTAAATAGTTTTGAAATCAAATAAAAAACCTTATTTTCCATCCGTCATCAGAATGCTTATATCAAGGAGGTTAAAAATTTTACATTTAATTTATCACACATGTTATCCATTTTTATTACCCAGATTATTAGACTAATTTGTTAATTACCAGGCAAAAATGTGGTTCGAATTCCCCTATTAACCCCCTAAGGCCCCTTAGTTGCCTTTTGCTGTATTGGTATTAATTAACATCTGTGTCTAAGGAATATGTCGGCCTTGGTCCCTTTCAAAACTAAAATGTTGGGCCACTCATCCTACACTAATCTCCATTAATTCTTGACTTAGAATGGACTTATAGATTGACGCACTTTTATCACAGGCTAAAATAGCCTATTGCATTTTTTAATTTTATCTTTTTAAGGTTTTCAAGCGTCTTATTATGTTGTAAGCGTTTATCTTACAACAAATATCTTTAGTATTGGTTAATTGTGAGGTAAAATAAGATATGGGCTAATAACAAACACAGTCAGTAGAGTAGCAATAAATCGTATTTAACAAAATACAATCAATATTAGGATAAAACTAAAATGTAAAATAATACCCCCGCCGCAGCAAACCTGCAGACTAAGCGAATTTCCATTTGACTGATTGGATTTACACTGAAATGTCTACTGTACTTAAAAATATAACATTTATTCCCGATTTAAATAGAATTAGTTTAACAAGTACTTAGGTTTGCTGCATCAGGGAGGGTACAACTGTGTTTTTGTTTTTTTTGTAAAATGTTAATAGTTAGTAAAAATAAAAACATTTTCCAAATTTGATCAAAATATGTTCATAAACAAGCAAACTACAACAGTTGACTTATTCTCCATAAGAATAACATGAGAATTTTAAATTTACAATTTTTTGGAATTTTCTCCGTAACCATTAGGCGCATAATAACGCTTCAATATACTAAATTATTTGTTTTTTTAAGCTCTACAAAATGGTTTGGAAAGAAATTGCTAAATTTTATGTTTTTTGGGTCAAAAATGGGAAAAACCTATTTTTACTCCATAAAACCCCCCGTAAACCCCCGTTCCCATGGTCCGATCATGCTGGATCGCGAACTCGTTCGAATAAACGTAGGTTTACACATTTGTACCAAATTTCATCAAAATCGGTTCATGCCACCTCATTTACAGTATAAGGAAATTTGCTAAGCATTTTGTAGCAATCTGAAAATATATACTGCTCCAAATGGGGAGAGGGGCTGCAGAATCCAAAGCCCCCCTGGATCTGTCCATATTTTGAACTGTCAAAGACTACTGGTGATTACCAGATTTTTAAATTAGATTTTCCTGCTTTGTCTCAATTTAATGGTGTATAGCTAGTAATCTTATTTGAAGCAGAGTTAGATAGTGTGACTGAAACATTTATCTATGTAATGTAATAGATTAAGTACTGTAAAGGTTAACAAGGCTATCAACAAGGAAGTCAGTCTGTTCCGTATGAGACTTTCAACTTAGTAGATCCCATATTGATTGGAAAATAATTAATACATTAAAACCTAAAACGATTTTGAAGTCTTTTGTTGAAAGAAAATTTACATCTACAAAATCAAGAAACTTGTAGTAGGACAACTCAAAAAAGTTGTTATAAATTAATAATATAGTTCATACCTAATTTACTAACAAAATAAATGTATTTTTTACAACAAAATCTGAATGTTAAAAACATTTTGTTGTACAATAGACATGTGTAGAAAAATAAAGATTTAAGCTTTTAACTTATTCACCCGAATTCTTTAAGGAACCAAATTTGTTCCAACTTGTAACTTGTCTACATGATACAGGAAGGGGAAAAGGGTTCTGAAGGAGTTATTTATACCCAAACTGTTAAAAATTAAATAATACAATAACTTTGTAAACCAAGTTGTTATTATAATATCTTAGAACTGTCTTGATTACCCAACCTATACTGGCCTTGAGGAGGTCAGATAAGGAAAAAGGTTGATAACATCAAAAAAGTACTTCTTAGTGAATTTCCTATTTAGGGAATAGGCAACAAATAACAGGAACAAATAAATTAAGACCCTTAAAATTATTACTTACTGTAAGTTCCACTTGAAATGGTAATTTTTAAGCCTATATTAACTTATGTTTGAATTAAATAACCTTACTTCTATATAAATAAAATTACAGTTTGTCTGTAGGGTACATTGTGTAGAATCATTATGTTTTTGCTTATTTTTACGTTTTATACCCTAAAAAAGCTGAAACGAGTATTATCTAAAATTTTGTCTGCCTGTCTGTTTGTCATTGTGTCTGTAGTCACAGAGTTAGCAAGAGTATCTTTATCCCTAAAATATGGCCTCACTACTTTGGAAATAAAATAACTGACATTCAAAAAACCAATTGTGTGCAATTTTTGTAAAATGTTCTCCCAATATTTACCATTTACGTAGTTTATTAATTACTAATCATATGTTCAGAGAAAACGTCTTCTATAAAATAACGAACAGCGGGAACAGC